AGTCCCCCATCGGGCTCCCTGCTCGGCAGGGAGTCTGCTTCTCCCTCTGACCCTCCCCCCTCTCATGTGCTCTCTCTCATTCTCTCTCAAATAAATAAATAAAATCTTTTAAAAAAAAATTTAAAAATTAAAAAAAAAAAACTGAAGGTTCTGAGATATAAACAAAACTTGCCATTTGGAGGAAAAGCCAGGGCTAGAACTGACTCTGAGCCAATATGCTGGTATATACTGCCTCTCAATTTATGCTTGAAACCTCACTTCAGAAGTTCTTTAAGTCTTTTTTTTTTTAATGTTTTATTTATTTATTCATGAGAGTGAGAGAGAGAGAGAGAGAGAGAAAGAGAGGCAGACACAGAGGGGAAGCAGGGTCCCCCCCCAGCAGGGAGCCCAATGCGGGACTCGATCCCAGGACCCTGGGATCATGACCTGAGCCGAAGGGAGATGCTCAACCATCTGAGCCACCCAGGCACCCTTTAAATCTTTTAATTAAATAAATAGGTGAAATAAAATTAAGAACTTCAACAGCCACCAGAAAATTTCCCCCGTAAGGATGAGATATCTGTTGTCTTTAAAACAGGTTACTTAGCATAATAAATCTTAAAATAGCAAGACACCCACCCACTTCTTTATACCTCCTCTGTGACCACTCACATCCATCAGCCCATGCTCCTCTTCTGCAGCACATCCTTTAAAAGTGGTATTCCCGTGGGCGCCTGGGTGGCTCAGTTGGTTAAGCGACTGCCTTCGGCTCAGGTCATGATCCTGGAGTCCCTGGATCGAGTCCCGCATCGGGCTCCCTGCTCGGCAGGGAGCCTGCTTCTCCCTCTGACCCTCCCCCGTCTCATGTGCTCTCTGTCTCTCTCATTCTCTCTGTCTCAAATAAATAAATAAGATCTTTAAAAAAAAAAAAAAAGTGGTATTCCCGGGGTGCCTGGGTGGCTCAGTAGGTTAAGCATCTGCCGTCAGCTCAGGTCATGATCTCAGGGTCCTGGTATCGAGCCCCGCATCAGGCTTCCTGCTTAGCCTGGAGCCTGCTTCTCCCTCTCCCTCTGCAGCTTCCCCTGCTTGTGCTCACTCTCTCTCTCAAATAAATAAATAAAATCTTAAAAAAAATAAAATAAAGTGGTATTCCTAGGGATTACTGCCCTTCTCACTCTACTCATTCTCCCTGAGTCAAAATCATGACAGTAGATGAACTATGACTATTCCAATGGTTGAGAACTATCATTGGAGTGGCTAAAAATATATAAAAGCTCAGGCTCCAACTCAGACTTAACTAATGAACAACAATCTCTGGGAATGAAGCCCAAGGACCTCTATGTTCCCCACCTTTATATGCTCCTTAGGCAAGAACCATGCCCTATAATCTACTTAACACAGTGACTGGCATACATACACAAGCACAACCAAGATTTGCTGAATAATGTTGTGGAAACACAAAATAGCAAGTTTAAATGCCCCTTAACTGCAGAATTGTGTGGTGTTTAATAAATTACCGAGCTACTAAGGCAATTACATTAGAAAGCCACTGTTTAATAATACTAGTTAAGTACATACAGTTGGGTAAGTGAAGGGCTTTTAGTACTTCTCTAACATTGGTATAGGTTAAAGAAAACCCCTGATCTTTTCTTGAAAGTTCACAAGATAATCTAGGCAGCCATAAGGATTTAAATATAACAAAGCCAAATTAAACAAACTGTAACAAGAGCATTACAGAAAGCTAGAAAACCAAGAGTCTTCTAAAACAAAAAGTGTTTACTCATTTGAAAGCTAAAATTAACCTGCAGATATCTACAAATTACAATATTAATCTACTGTTGCCCAGAACTAATCTCCCCAAAGTAGTAATCAAATTCCCAAGGAAAAATTAATCTGGCAATCTTTTCACATTTCAATCTTTTTCTCCTGCAATTTTATTTTCAAATTCACTAATAACATACCTGATTTCATACTGAAAAGTAGCACTGGAAGCAGGGGATTTAAATTTTTTAGAATTAACAATAAGCTCTCTAATGTGAAGTAAAACAAGGGTTTTTAACTTGATAAACTTAAAACTTATTGCCACACTAAACAAACATTAATTTTTTTAACTGAAAAACCTAGACAGGGGCGCCTGGGTGGCTCAGTCGAGAAGCGTCTCCTTTTGGCTCAGGTCATGATCCCAGGATCCTGGGATCGAACCCGGAGTTGGGCTCCCTGCTCAGCAGCAAGCCTGCTTTTCCCTCTCCTACTCCCCCCCTGCTTGAGTTCCCTCTCTGGCTGTCTCTGTCAAATAAATAAATAAAATCTTAAAAAAAAAGAAAAGAAAAAGAAAAAACTAGACAACTGGTATTTAAAACCTCAATGAATGTAAAAAGGTCTTATAAATCCATAAAAGATAAAAATCCCAAAAAGGGAGCAAAATGAGCAAAAGCAAAGGGCAATTTACAAAAGAAATAACAATGTCCAAGAAACATGTTAAAAGTTCAACTTCATCTTTTTTTTTAAGAAGCAAATTTTTAAAATGACTATTTTATCCTAATCAAGCACTGACTGGTGGGGGGAAAACTAATAACCTTTCTGAAAGCAACGTGGTAGGCAGTATGTATCAAATGCCTTGAAAATAAGCACACCATTTAACTCAGCAATTCAATTTATCCTAAGAAAATAAAACATTCAAAGATTTACCTATGAGGATATCCCCAGTGAAGTTAATAAAAGCCAGAAACCAGAAAATAAAAAGGCCAATAATAATGGACTGATTAAATAAATTAGTTTAGATTTATAATCAGATATAACACTGGAAATGGAAAGAGTTATTTACAAGAGAAAGTTGTTGAGATTCCTTCTGTTTTTGTAACCTTTTTTCTACTGAAAACAGAATATAAAGTATGATTCTGTATGATTTTATAGTATGGTTTTCCTTGCCTAGTTTTTTCTTAGAGTGTGCATGTATGACCAGTTTAACTTTTTAAGTTTAAATCTACTAACATAAAAAAACCTTACCATAACCAAAGCCTAGTTTAGATCTAGGAAGCACGCCATTTGGAGAAAAGATGACCTGGGATAAATCCTATTCTTTGATTTACTGGTAGTTCGAAACAGAAACTTAACAAGGAACTGATATTTATATATTCAGGAATTCCATTTAAGAGCATCCTTAACATGACAGTTTTCAAAAATCACGCATGGACACCTAAAAAAAAAAACAAAAAACGCTAGTATTTTGTGGTCCTTATTAGCTCAGTTCATCTGTGTTTATTCTCTCTCCTCTAAACTAACAAAGAAAGAATGATGTCATATGCATTAGCTACATTCCTGTTCCAGAAGTGACATAAAGAACTTGTAAGGTTTGGCCTCAGTGCTTAAGACACACCTAAGAGCTGAGAAAGTTGGATGAGATTTACTACATGAAAACAAAGAAGTTAAAGAATATCCACTATCCATGAGTTTTTAAAAACCTAATTAACATGTCAATAAACTAGGTAAGTTTGAAAACATTGGATTTTATATACTGTAGTGGTAAATAAACGAAAAGAGAATTCAAGGTTTTACTCTAAATTCTTTTAATAGTTTCCTCAAAAAAAGAAAAAAGTCTCCACTTAGTGGCCTAAGAACTGTCATATTTTTAGAATCAGAAAAAGAGCAATAAAACTTATCTTCCTTCTATATCCCTTCAATTTCCTCCTTAGATTGCAGTATCCTTATGAAAGTTTGAGATGTCCACTGTTTAGTAGTACCACTATATATCACAGATACTTTTTTTACTATTATTCAAAACAGGGTCTCCAAATGAGCCAAAATAGAGGGCTCAAGTGGAAGCGTTGCTTACTAGACAATATTGTAAAAATCTGTTAATCATGGAAACTGAACAAGTAGGCAGTGACATACTACTGCCAATTTCCCAGTGAATATTAGCCAATTAATTTTAAGGTAGGAAAAAAAAAGTAATGACTGACATACAAGAAGGCAAGAGTAACTTGCTCCTGTATATAGTTTCTTCATATATAACTAGTGTTTTCTAAAAGTTGCCCTGAATCAAGACTTCATTTTTATTCTTGAATCATATCCCTCACCCATCATAGCTGTTTTTTCCCCCAAACAGATGTAAAGTTTGGAATTCCTAAAGCTAAAAATGCAAAATCTGACCCACGCGGTTAAATGAGTTGTGGTTATCAACTTAAACCAAGCCTAACTCACCAAGAAATAAAAATTATCAGAGAAAATTAGTCTAGAAGCAGAAAGCCCTTCCCTCCTAACTCACAATAGAGTCTTGTCTAATAATAGTAACACTGCATTTTGTTGTTTTAGCTGCAAGGCTGGGTATGCAATCTACAGTAACTATTTCAACAGCTTCAAGTAAGTCATAGGCTACCAATGAAAAAGTAGCATTAGGTCTCAAACAAACAGCAAAGACATACAAAGATGAGAGCAGAAACCTCACCATCGGAAAAGAAGGCCCATCAGCACCTCTTCCGAGAAACAGTTCCCTTCCCCCACCCTTAAGTAGGCATTTAAGACTGCCAAGCAGATCCATTTCTTTATTAACTGGTGCCCACTTGGGGCAACCGTACACCAAGCTGCTCTTAGGCCTACTCCAACCCCTTCCAAAAGTGCTCAAGCAAGACTGAAGGCCGGGATAACCCTCTCTGGGGCAGCGTTCTTCCTGCTCTTCTCCACCCGCCCCCCCTCCGCCCCGCCCCGCCCCTGTAGGCGCTCCTCCGGCCAGAAGGACACCGGGCCCAGGGACGGGCAGGAATGGCCCGCAAGAGAGGTCTTAGGCGGCCGGAGGCCTCCGCCATAGCAGGACCTGGAAAGCACCGCCCCCAGCGCACCTCCCCACACCCGGCTAACCGGTGAATGTCTGCTTTCAACACCCCCTATCCCCAGCAGAGGCAGCGGAGGAGACAGGGCCCGGAGGCACCGGGCTGGGCTGCGCACCAGGCCGGGGCCTGCCCCTCGGGCCGCCGACTCTGTTCCCCTGCCCGGCCAGGTCAAGCCAGCGCGGCGGCCACCCTCACCTGGATGACCTCGTTGACCTCCCGGATACATTCCACCATGTGTTGCAGAATCTGCTCGGCCGTGAGCACCTCGTAGCGGTAATCCTCCTCCTGCTCGTGCCCTGGCCCGCCGCCGCCGCCGCCGCCGCCGCCGCCACCGCCGGGCCCCAGAGCGCTGCCGCCGCCGCCGCCCGTCTCCCCGCACAGCAGTCCGTCCCGCTCCCCGCCGACGCCCAGCCCGGGCTCCACCAGCTCCACCTCGCCCAGATCCAGGTTATCATCGTCCGGCTCATCGTCGTCCTCGTCTTCCTCCTCCTCGGCGCCGCTGTCCTCTTCGCTGCACTCTTCGTCCTCGTCGAACTCGTAGTTGTAGCCCTCGTCCGAGTCCATGGCGCGAGACGCGAGGGCCCGGCGGACGCTGGCCCTGAGGCGGGGAGAGGGCGGGGACGCCGAGGCCCCAGCTCTCGCTCCGGCTCCGGCTGATGTCCGGACGCAGGCCTGGCTCCGGCCCCGCGGGCCGCGGCTCCTCCCCGGGCGCGGCGGTTGGCGGTTGGCGGCTGGCGGCGGCGGGGAGGGCGCGGAGGAGGGAGGGAGGGAGCGAGGGGGCCGCTTGCCGCCCGCCTCAGTCAGACGCGGCTCCGCTCCGGCCTCCGAGAGAAAACAGTCCCCAGCGCCACCTCCACGGCCGCTGCTACCGCTACTGAGCCAACAAAGGGGCGTGCGTCACCGCGTCGCGCTGCGTCGTCGCGTCACTCCTCTTGGCGTCACCGCGCCCCGCCCCGCCGCCCCTGCGTGGAGAGCGGGGAGACCCCACGGCCCGGCCTGGCCCTGGGAGCGCGGCACCGCGGGAATCGCCTTCTCGGTTCCGGCTGCGGTCGCTCTGTGGACCGACACCAGTGAATCTTGCTCCTGAAAAGGGTGCGGCCTCCTCGTCACCGAGAGAAAGGCCCCTCGACCCGGTGGTGGTTTTTGCCGCAGGCCATAGGGATGCAGCCCCCTCACTGAATCCAGCGAAGGTGGCTTTCCCACCGGGCGGTAGAGACACTTCCCGCCCGCCCTGGAGTAGTTCGGGGAAGTCCTTGGCTGTTGAGCTAAAATTCCTGTTGCCTGAGCTACTAAATGGAAACCTGTTTCATGCGGAACCCGTGAACTGTGTGACAGGTGAACCTCGTAGTAGTTCTGCTTCTGTACTCCGGGACAAATGTGCAGTGGTTTTTAAGTCGCTGATAGTGACGTCATTTTAGAGAAGCGTTTCCTGAACTGAGCTCAGCAGGAACCTACCTATTCGGAGCCCTAAACAATGTAAACAGTCATGGCTTTCCTTAATGGAGCATCATGTAAGGGCTCTACGTATGTTCTCTCTTCCTCACGGAGCCACAGTACCCATTGTATATCTGAGGCTCGAAGGGAAAGGGACTTGCCCAAGATCACAGAACACGCCCTGTTTCAGCGGCTGGGTCACGTAAAACATCAATCATAAAAATACTTTATAATGCATAATATGAATTAGGTACTACAGAGTATGTAAAATGCATTGTAATATAACCCAAGACAAGCAGTAATAGAAATACCTACAAGGACCAAATGTAGCAGACAGACAGTGCTTGTCTCTTATCTAGAAATGTACTGTGTGAGCTGCGTGTTGATTGATGGCTAGGAGTTTAACAGAGAAGGTAGGGAAGATGATCTAGCCTGAGAGAATAACAGAAGCAAAAGCACAGTAGGTGTAAAGTAGTTTTGTTTCAGCAGCTTATAGTGCAAGGAGGGTAAATGGGAAAATACTAGGCAAGTTAGGGGTCAGGACAGTAAGAGTATTTTATGCCGTTCTAAGAGTGGACTTAAATCTTTCTAAGTAAGACAGGAGAACCAGAGAAGTGTCCTGAAGGAGGAAGAGGCCTAAGAAAGCACCCTCTTGGGATACCCTGAAGGATTGGCCAGATTAGACATTTTAAAAAATCTGAATCCCTAATTTACTGATAAATTTACTGTTAAAACGACAGATTCCCTTCGGAAATTGACTTTTAAAATTGAAAAATTCCTTTATAATGTAAATAAGCTTCTACCAATTTGTCAATTTTGTAAATGTTTAATCAGATTTCCTAAAATAATCAGGATTTGTAATTTAAAGCTTTTAACATAAATGCTGGTATGTCTTGGTCCTTTGATTTTGTTTCTACTTAGCAATTTCAGGTTTTTGCCACAGCTGGGGTAAGCTGACGACACTAGCAAACGCTTCTCTACCCCATCCCCATTGTTACATATATGGGGGGAAAGTTCAGTAACACTTGTGAGTACCCTCAACTCCTTTGCCCCATTTTTCATTTCATCCTACCCCTACCTTGAATAAATCCTACCATCCTTTTTGTCCCCTTTGGTACTGGAGCTGCTGACCACTGCTGGAGAAATTTGCATAATCACATGCATTCTATCATTAAATTCCAATTATCAAGCACAATTGAACCATCAACACCATTCAGCAATCTTGTTAAATTTTTCTGAATTGTCCTCCCTCTCTAACAACTTTTGCAAACCTTCACCAGTTTTCTCAAACCCCCACTGCTGTCTTTTCAAATCCTCTCAATAACTTCACATCACAGAGAAATTTGAAATCATAAGGACCAATGTGACAAGCTTGCTGAGCAAAGAAGAGAGTGTTAAGGGATAAAGTCAGAAAAGGCTTATCAAGGCGGGGGGGGGGGGGCGCCAGCCGGGCTTGTAGGCTATCTTAAGAAGTTTACATTATTGCAAAGGGAAGCATTAGCAGGTTTTAAGCAGAAGAATGAAACAATATAATATGCATTTAAAAAAATAACTATGGCTAAAAGAAGATAAGAACTATGGCTGCTTTGTGGAGAATGGACTATGAAAGCAGAGACCAATTATGAGGCTATCTCAGTAGTCTGGGTGAATAATGATAATGGCTTGGGCCAGAGTTGTGACAGTAGAGATGATGAGAAGTAGTTTCAGGTATAATTTGAAAGTAAAGCCAATAGCTTTGCTGATGGCTTGACTGTGGGGTTGATAGAGGAATCAAGGATGCCTACTAGATTTGGGACTTGAGGAACTGGGTGAACGGAGGTACCATTTACTGAAACGTGTTAAATTTGAAGTGCTTGTTAGACATCCAAGTAGAGATATTGAATAGGCAGTTATATCTACTGGTGTATAAGACAGAAGGTCAGGGGAGGTAGGACTGAAGATAGAAATTTCCGAGATTATGTCAACAATGTTGATAAGCAGCATAGGCTAAAGGTTAAGAGCTTAGGCTTTGGGGCAAACAGACCTGAATTTGCCTATGCTCCTCCAGTTGCTGTCTATAACCTTGAACCAAATTACTGAACCTCTCTGAGCTTGACTTTGGAGGATTATAATTCCTATTCTCATAAGATTATTTGTGAATATCAAATGAATAATGTATTTAAAGCACTTGACATAGTGCCTGACACATAGTTAAGTGCTCACAAAATTTGAACTTTAAAAAAGTGTCATAAGTCACCTTGCATCTTGTGGGAAAAACTACAGCCAGTTGGATTTATAACCTTTTAATTGATTTTTTAATTATGCAAGTATGCACATGGCCTCAATCATCCTCATTTTCTGAGGAAGAATATTGGTCTGCCTTTTTTCTCAGAAATCTTTTCCATAGTCTCATAACTTCTTTTTTGGTCAATATCATGGACAACATCATAGGGCTTCTGAATCTTGGGGCCTCTTATTCATGGATAAACGTTCCTAACCAGATTTTTAGCAACACTCATTCCATTGATATTTTGGAAATTATCTTGCAATCAGGTTAGGTTATAGTGCTATTTAAGGAAATCAGTATAACAACTTCTCTCTGGCCCCAAATTGTCCAAGGGATGACCCACATACAATGTTTTTTTAAGTGACTTGAGCTTAAAAGTATTGTCGGTATACTGCTTTCTTAGTTGTGGTGATTACTGGGTAGAAGTACAGTAATCTGTAAACAACAGGACAAGGTCCTTGAAAAAAAAACACAAGTTAATATTTTCTTGATGCCCAAAGAATCGCTATTGGTAATTAGGTACTCCCATTACCCCCATGTCCTAATAAGGTCAAAAGATATTAGTATACATTTATTAAATATCTACTCACAGAGCAAAACTCCATAAATATTGATATGCTCACCAAATGGTATTTAATGAAATTCCAATAGGAAGAATATGCAAATGCTTTTCAGATATATAGAAATTAAAATAGTCCTGGAATTTTTCTAAGGGCAGATATACAGAGCTGTAAGCTATGGCCTCCGGTAATGGCAGGGCACTAGGGTGAACCAACCCTAGCTGGTACAGAACAGAGGTTTGCTGGGATGTGGAATTTTCAGTGCTAAAACTGGGAAATATAAGGCAAACTGGGATGGTTGGTCACCTAACCTGGCACCTCACCAAAAATTTTTCCATAATGTAATTAAAACACTATTTCCAAAAGTAAGTGGAAAGAAATTACTTTTTATCATGTTGTTTATAAAGTTTGTTTCAATGCAGCATTTTTTGCCCTTTTAAAAAATGTTTTAGTTGTTCTTGTGCTTTACCAGGTAGGAAGTAAAAAATTTTAAATTTTAATATAAATTTAAGATTAAATTTTAGTACAAGTGTAGAGATATTAATAAACTAATTGAGTACTTCGAATTTCTTTAAAAACATCTGTCTGTGTATTTACAAATTAAGTAAGTACACAATTAAACATTACATCATTGTTGAGAAGTAGATCTTATCATACCAGTTCTTTTTTTTTTTTAAGATTTTATTTATTTATTTATTCAAGAAAGCGCAAGCAGGGAGTGGGGCAGAAGGAGAGGGAGACGCAGACTCCCTGCTCGGCAGGGAGCCCGGCACAAGGTTGAGTTGCAGGACCCTGGGATCATGACTTGAGTCAAAGGCAGACAGACACTCAACCAACTGAGCCACCCAGGCGCCCCTTATTATACCAGTTCAGTGTGGTAAAAATAAGGCTTAGAGAAACTGAGGTTATATGCTTCATTAGAAGTCTGGTAGAGATATTAATAACTGAGATAGAACCCGAGATTCCTGACTGCAGCCCTTTCTCTAACTATCTTTCTTCCAGAGTACAGGGTCTAAGGACTCTATTATTGAACTTAAGATTTTATGAAAGGAATTACCTACAACAGGTGGTAGGATATGCTGAAACTAGAAGGAGAGTACATACCCTCGTGTAATTAGACAAATGTACAAAATGTACCATAGTGTCTGTGTTCCCTGTAAATGCAAGACACGTTAATTTGGCCTTAATGTGTGCTTATACTCCAGCAAAAAATAGCAAATGATCATCCCCCCAAAAGGAAACATGTTTGTCCTAATGACTTAACCACTTGAAGAAAAGAGTGGGTTTATTTTTTTTTTAAGATTTTATTTATTTATTATTTGAGAGAGAGGGGGAGATTGAGAGAATGAGTGGGAGGAGGGGCAGAGGGAGAAGCAGACTCCCTGTGGAGCAGGGAGCCCGAGCAGGACTCAATCCCAGGACCCTGGGATCATGACCTGAGCCGAAGGCAGACATTTAACCAACTGAGCCACCCAGGCGCCCCAAAAAAGTGGGTTTATAACAAAAGTTTTCAAAAGAAATGCTTCTCTGTGGTTTGCAGTATTTCTAGTTCGTTGTGTTGCCTTATGAATGTATTTGAATGAATGGATGAAAAATAGGCAAAAAGTGAACAAATGTATTATTGAGTCTCTTATGCCACAGTAGGTGTGTGTATGTTTTTAATTCGGTCCTTACGATCTTGTGAAGTTGGGATTCTTAATTTTCTTTAATAGATAAGGAAAAAGGCTCAAAGATGAAAAATAATAAAAATAAAGTTCACAATGGATACAGAGCTTTGATTCATATCCAGGTTTTTAGAGTTCAAGTCCACTGTTTTTACCATGCAATTCTCAGTAATTGTAGTAAGATCTTATTCCTGTTCTAAAACGTGCTTTTGTATTTGTTATAATGGAGTAATTGCTATCAAACCTACAGCTGTCCAGATTGGCAGCATAAACTGACTGTATGCAATGTTTGTTCCTACTTAGAAATATGTCATTAAAATATAATAGTGAATAAGTAGATGTGTTATCCTCTATTTAC